TTAACGAGACGATTATAATGGTGTAATTTGTTAAAATAAAAATGTATTTTTTAAACATGTTTTAATTGATATACGATTATGTATGTTAATTTGATAAAAGTTTAAAATGAAACATTTAAAAGTAAATGATGTAAAGTAATTAATTAACTAATTATAAGGATATAAAATGTAAATTTAAAATTATAATTTAAAAAAAAATCGTTTGAATGTGAGAGGGTGAGTGTATGTGATGAGAGGAAAGGGTGAAAAAGTGAAAAAAGTATATTGGTCATTTAGTATTTTAAGACTTTTGCTAAATTTGCTTAATAAGATAACTAGTTGTGTACCCGCGCAATGCGGCGGGAACAGAAAATATAAAAAAAATTTAAGCTTGGGCTCTTTAAAATAAGAGTTATGGTTCCAAATTGAAGTTGATCCATGAAAAACAAATAAAATTATTGGTCTGCTACTTTGATCCGTCATTTCCGATAGGGCACAATTCCTTYAACGGCAGAAGAATTGCTACTTTGATMTGCCATTTCCAAAGACGATCCTTTCATCTTCTTTCCTAGTAGATGCACAATAGAAGGCCATACACATTTGACCTCTGTTAATATTTCTACCTTTAAGCTTCTACTTTTACAATCCCTTTCACAACAGTACTATACCCCTTTTCAACAGTAGTTTTAGTTTACATACATACAGCTTGACCACTTAAAGAATGAACACCCACTACCACAAAATATAACCAGCAGCAAGTGAAGGATCCAAATATCTCCTGGACCAATTACCCAAACAAATCGTCTGTTGATACAAAAAAATTTAAGAAAATACCATCAAAATATGAATGTTATTTACTTACCTCATTTAAATGTGCAAATATCAAGAGGTGAAAGCAAATATTCTATCTGAAATCTTGGTCCGGCAAATTGGACACTCGAAACATGCAACTGAGCAAGGTTTACACACTGCCAAAAATTGCAATATAATAAACACACTTAAACTCTTTATCTTATACAAGTGTTGAAATTGCGATATGGGGATTTGGCGACTTACAACTAAAATGCCGGCAAGGAAGAAGCATTGTTGTAGTTGGTGACTCGAAACATACATTACAAACATGAGAATTCGCATCACCATTCCCATTGTAATTCACCTCTTTATCCTTCATCTCTTGCATTCGAGCCTGAAAACCACCCATAAGACCGTCAAAAGCTACATTAAACTATTGTTTCTAAAATATTCACTTTAAAAGTCTATCAAAATCAACCCCGAAAATGTCATAATGGAGGACTGTTTCATAGGACCAAACAATTTTGTGCATCCTTTCATTTAGCTATTAATCAGAATATCCAAAACAACCCTTTAATGACCGTAACATTGTCAAAATTACATTTTGGATCACAAAAGCAATATATTTAACCAAAAGAAAAGAGTAGAACAAAAATGCAATATCAAACACACCTTATGAAAATCAGGATGAGAGCCCTACCTGCACATGTTTATCATGTATGAAACTTTCGTCTATTGGTCTCATAGTTTTTCAAGGACTCCACACAATCTTTGCTTTTAAGACCATATAGTTGTTATGGATATGTTTACCCTCAACCAATTAAAACAGCTTTGAGTCAGCTATGGTGTTTTGATGTTCTCCAGGATTTTTTGTCAAAATTGTATTCAGGAGCATTATCTCTACCAAGCATCAAATTAAGCAAAAAGAATGCATGTTAAATGCACAAGTAGTTCTAACTTACATTTGCCTACCATTTTGAGGGAAATGCGTTGGAAAATATAATTCTTTTGAACAAGGTCTTTGTTGCTCCTAACATAATAGAAAACACATAAAAGTAGTCAGACAAAAAGTAAATGCTCTAATTTTCAAAGTAGATATTGCAGATAAATGTAAATTAAGGGGCCGTCTACCAAACATGACCAAAGAATAACAAAACCTCTACATCTAGTAAAATCTTATATGTCCCACAACAAGGCATGTTGCTTTTCATGATACCCCCACCCCCACTTGTCTCTATTTCACAAATTTAAATAAAATTAAAAGGGTTTTCTTGAAAATAGCAACTACTCCTTGAATCAAAATCTAAATCCATAAAACAAATTAGCAGCAAGTCTAAAAATGAGCCACAAATTTTCATTAAGCATTCCAAGACTTTACTTCCACACACACAGTCACTGGCTGTTTTTTGTTTGTTTTTTCCATAAGCATTCCAGCACGATGCCTTATATACAGTATAGAAAAATAAATCACCACATACCTAGGGCCACATAAGACTTCCCAGCACGATGCCTTATATACAGCATTGATGTGTGTGTGCATATGTATTTATACTATTCCTAGGGCCACATAAGACCTCCCATCCTCAGGCCAATAAGATATGCACTTCACATGTAAAAACTTAAAAGAGTAGACAATGAGTACAAAAAACCATGCTCTTGTTTTAAAACCTCATCAACCTTAATGAAACCATATACAGTGAAATATAAAAATTTTCATCTGTTTGAGTTTAAATCAAAAGAAACCAACAGTGGCCAAAAATGGTTTCATCTGTTTTGAGTTTTATGGGTATAAACCCAAACTCTTCATACACAGAATCACAAATACTTCATTAAAGCCTGTTAACAATCAAGTAAACCATGGCCAAAAATGAAACCTTAAAAAAACTAACCTGAAATTTAAAAAAACAGTGGCCAAAAATGGTTTCATCTGTTTTGAGTTTTAGGGGTATAAACCCAAACTCTTCATACACAGAATCACAAATACTTCATTAAAGCTTGTTAACAATCAAGTAAACCATCAAACTCAATGAATTCGACCCTTGACAAGATTATTATTTGCTGGCGTTGACAACCACCAAGCACCAACCAAATCAAAAGAAACCAACAGTGGCCAAAAATGGAACCTTAAAAAAACTAACCTTAATGAAACCATATACAGTGAAATTTAAAAAATTTCATCTGTTTGAGTTTAAATCAAAAGAAACCAACAGTGGCCAAAAATGGTTTCATCTGCTTTGAGTTTTATGGGTATAAACCCAAATTCTTCATACACAGAATCACAAATACTTCATTAAAGCTTGTTAACAATCAAGTAAACCATGGCCAAAAATGGAACCTTAAAAAAACTAACCTGAAATTTAAAAAAACAGTGGCCAAAAATGGTTTCATCTGTTTTGAGTTTTATGGGTATAAACCCAAAACCCAAAAACAAAACCTAAAAACAAAACTCAAGTAGTTCATACCTGAAAGCGACGATT